TTATCCCATTTTACAGATGAGGAAACCAAGTCTCAGAGGGCAGAAGTGACTTGCCCAGAGTTATACAGTTGAGGAATGGTGGAATGGGGGTATGTGTAAATGTACAACAGAGAGACACAGAGAAAACAAGATAGAGACATATGTGCCGAGAAGTGAAGAAAATGGCAGGGAAAGAACAGCAGAAAAACTCAGCTCTGTCGAAGACATAAATCAGTAAAATGGCAGCTGCCCCAGACCGAGAGTTTCCTGGTACTGGGCTGGCCTTACATTCTGTAGACTTAATTTCAGCCCACAAAGCTGTCCCATGAGGCGGGGCGCAGTGGCTCTTGCCTGTAATCCTAGCACTCTGGGAGGCCGAGGCGGGAGGATTGCTCAAAGTCAGAAGTTCGAAACCAGCCTGAGCAACAGCGAGAGCCCGTCTCTACTAAAAATAGAAAGAAATTAATTGGCCAACTAAAAATATATAGAAAAAGTTAGCCGCACATGGTGGTGCATCCCTGTAGTCCCAGCTACTCAGGAGGCTGAGGCAGGAGGATTGCTTGGGTGCAGGAGTTTGAGGTTGCTGTGAGCAAGGCTGACGCCACAGCACTCTAGCCTGGGCAACCGAGTGAGACTCTGTCTCAAAAAACAAACAAACAAACAAACAAAAACAAAGCTGCCCCATGAGAAGACTGAGTCTCAACAAGGAAAGTAACTCACCCAAAATATAGTGGGTTTAATGGTGAGTGCCCCCCAAAAAGATATGTCCACCTAGACCCTGTGAATGAGAACTTATCTGGCAAAACGATCTTCAATACTGTAATTAAGGATCTTGAGATAAGATCATCCTGCATTATCTGGGTGGACCCTAAGTCCAATGACAAGTGTCCTTATAAAAGGAAGCCATAGAGAGGTTGGAGACAGAGGAGAAGCCCATGTGAAGACAGAGGCCGAGACTGGAGTGATGCAGCCACAAGCCAAGGAATGCTGGGAGCCACAGAAGCTGGAAGGGGCATAAAACAGATGCTCCCCTAGAGTCTTGGGAGGGAGTATGGCTCTACCAACACCTTGAATTTGGACTTCTGGCCTCTAGGACTGTGAGACAAAAAATTTCGGTTGTTATGAGCCACCGTATTTGCAGTAGTTCTTTATGGCAGCCAATCCAGGGGTAGGGAGAAATAATGAGAAAGACATGGAACAGGTTGGAGGTGGAAACAACGAAGGAACTAGAGATATGCAGAGGGAGAGACAGGCCTACTGACACTGCAGGAAGAGCAGGCTCTGCCCAACTCCTCCAGGAAGCCCTCCCTCACCACCCAGCCTGGGTCAGTGCCTGCTGTGGACATTCACAATACCCTGTGCTACCTCCATTAGAGCATAAATCTCACTAGAGAGGGACTGTGTCCCCATGTGTCCTTTCTTTTTTTTTTTTTTTTTTTTTGAGACAGAGTGTCGCTTTGTTGCCCAGGCTAGAGTGAGTGCTGTGGCATCAGCCTAGCTCAGAGCAACCTCAAACTCCTGGGCTCAAGCAATCCTCCTGCCTCAGCCTCCCGAGTAGCTGGGACTACAGGCATGTGCCATCATGCCTGGCTAGTTTTTTTTCTATATATATTAGTTGGCCAATTAATTTCTTTCTATTTATAGTAGAGACGGGGTCTCGCTCTTACTCAGGCTGGTTTCGAACTCCTGACCTCGAGCAATCCGCCCGCCTCGGCCTTCCAGAGTGCTAGGATTACAGGCGTGAGCCACCGCACCCGGCCCCATGTGTCCTTTCTTGAGGGCCCAAGCCTGACCCATCTCTGGGTCCCCAACCTCACTGCACTCGGAGCCTGGCATACAGGGTTCGTCAGGAGAGAAAACAGGCATGACTGAATGAACCCATGCCCCTGATGTCTCTCGCTAGAGAGTCTGCCTGCTCCTGTGTGTCTGGGAGACACTTGGATTTTCTGCAATGCCCACAGAGGGCCTCACCTCCTCCAGGAAGTCTTCCCTGAACTCTCAGGCTTGGTCAGGTGCCTCTTTTAGGCTCCCATCGTGCCCCGTGCTGCCTCCATTGTTACATGTCACACCGAACATGATTGCACCCAGGTCTCTGTCCTACCCCCTTCCCCAGCTCAGATGGGGCAAGTCCCAGATCTGACTCAGGCCTCAGGGCCAGCATTTTCCTGGGAGACCTCAAGAGAATATGTTGAATGAATGAAAAAGTGAGTGAGTGAAGTCAAAATACAACGGACTGTGGCATTCAGAGATGGGTGAGAAAATAATTTCTTTGCGTGAGGCTTAAGAGGAAGGCTTCCTGGTGTAGGTGACATTTAACTTCCTGACTCTCTTTTTGTCCCCATAATCCCGATCTGAGCTCAGAACTCATCTTCTCCCACCTGGGTCCTCCCCCAGCCTCCTTCCCAGTGTCTCCCCCTGTCGTCTCCCTCCCTCTGCATTCTGCTCCCCACAGATCCCAAAGGGTTCTTTTTATAGCCTATGGCTTCCCAAGATGTCTGGACAAAGTCTCCACTCCTCAGCCTTTCTTATTTTTTTTTTCTTTATTTTATTTATATTTTCTTTTGTTTGTTTGTTTAGATAGGTTCATGCTTTGACTCAGCCTTTCTTGTCATGACCAAATTCTTCCTCTGTCCTTCAAAACCCACCTCTGAGAGAAGATTCCTGATTTCTAGGCTGTTTCAGGGACTTCTCTGGGCTCACCCAGTGAACTGAGCCAACTCGGCGGTGATGATCGCTCATGTTGGCCTGTTTTAACACTGTTTGGGGCCAGGTGTGATGGCTCATGACTGTAATCCTAAGCACTCTGGGAGGCCGAGGTGGGCGGATCACTCGAGGTCAGGAGTTCGAAACCAGCCTGAGCAAGAGCGAGACACCCCCCCCTCCCGTTCTCTACTAAAAAAAAATAGAAACAAATTAATTGTCCAACTAAAAATATATAGAAAAAGTTAGCCGGGCATGGTGGTGCATGCCTGTAGTCCCAGCTACTTGGGAGACTGAGGCAGCAGGATTGCTTGAGCCCAGGAGTTTGGGGTTGCTGTGAGCTAGGCTGATGCCATGGCACTCTAGCCCAGGCAACAAAAGTGAGACTCTGTCTCAAAAAAAACCACAAAAAACACTGCCTCTGGCACAAAGCTGAGCCCGCCCCTCCCTTGCTCACAGACCCCCCCATGGTTCCCCACTGCCCCTGGGAAAAAATCCCAGGTCCTCAGCCTGGCCTTAGAGACCCCACAAACCCTGTCCAACTGTAATCCCCATACCAGGCCCTTAGGTCTCTGGGCCTTTGCCCAAACTGTTCCCACTAACTGGGGCTCCCTTTCCCCCTTCTCTGCTGGGGCAAATTTCTGCTCAAACTTCTGTACACTTCAGGAGTCTTCTCCTCTAGGAAGCCATCTGACAATGACAGGAGGTGGGCAGGGGCCTCTTCTGAGCTCTGGAGGCCACCTGTGCTGCCTCCATTCTAGTGCACAGACAGACTGGGCCCAGTGCCCAGAGGGGGAGGGAATGGCCAGGCCGGAGGTGGGTCCCAGATGTGGATTTCACGCCTATTCGTCTCGGGCGCTGGGAACAAAGTTTGGGTCATAAGGAACATATGGGACTCACTCTGCACCACACTTTCATCTCCTACCTCCCCAGCCCTGGAGTGGGAGGCGGCGGGGCCAGGCCTGGGTGGTTCCCACAGCCCCTCTCGGCCTCCTCACCTCTCTTTCCCTGCCGTCAACTCCCACTGCCTCCCAGAGCACAGCAAAATCCTCCTGCCTTTTGGGTTTTCTTTTCCTGGGGTAGGTGTGGCCTCTGGGCTTTTTAATAATAACAAACTCTACTGGCCCTTAGTCGGTGTTAGGCACTGTTCTAAACCCATGGCATAGATTAACTCACTTAATCCTCAAAACACACCCAGTGGATTATTGTCTATTATTATATCATCATCCCCATTTTGCAGGTGAGAAAACTGAGGGACAGGGAATAACAGTGCTGGGATTGTTTTTTGTTTTGTTTTGTTTTGTTTTGTAGAGATGAAGGTCTTGCTATGTTGACCAGGTTGGTTTCGAACTCTTGGGCTCAAGCGATTCTCCTGCCTCAGCCTCTCAAGTAGCTGGGATTATAGGCACACACCACCGCACCAGGCAGTGCTGGTGAATGAGCTCTCTAAAGCAGCACCATCCGACAGAACTTTCTGTGAGGTGGAAATATTCTATATCTGTGCAGTCCAATATCCTAGCCACCAGCCACTTGAAATGTGGCTAATGTGACTGAGGAGCTGAATTTTTTTTTTTTTGCTTTTTTTTTTTTTATTTTGGCATATTATGGGGGTACAGATTTTAAGGTTTCAATAGTATCCTATGACATCATAGCACATGCTGGTTCCCCATTGGCTGAGAGCCTCAGTTTTCTCTCAGGGAAGGAACAGAGTTGCTTTCCAGGTCCAAATGGACTTCAAATCATATCCCTTTCTCTAAGACTCCCTCAAAGTACTCCTTCAGTGACTCTCTTGAAAAGACCACCCAAATTTGAAATTGTGTTGTTGGTTGTGGGTGCAGGGGCAGAGGTCAGGATGACAAGGAAGGTTCTAGGTCGTGACAACCTTCTATTCCATAGTATGTACTAGCTCCTGCCTTTTCAGTACCACCCCGTCCTGTAGATACACAATCGTTGGGTAGGAATAGAATTCTGCTTAGCACCAAGTGATGCCATTCAACACCGTGGCTCCCAATTGGCTATTCTCTCAGGAATGAATCTCCACTGTACTTCAAAAACAGGTGAACCTATCAGAACCCTCTTGACATAATCATTCAAAGTCCCTGTATTCCTTTCTCAGAGTCCATCCGGAGGCCCACCAGGAACCAAAAGTTCCTACATCTGGAACTTTCTGGAAATCTGGAACTGCTGTCCCTTCTTTCATTAAATTTCCCGCCTTTACCAGCCATGCCCCTCCCATTGGCATTTGGCCTATCATCAGACAACACAAATATGACTAGCACCCAGTGACGTCAGAGGGCCTCTCTCATTGGATTGGCCACTTTGTCAGGAAGTTCTAGTCAAGACTTAGCTCCGCATATTTATTCAAGGCCTTCTTTGTTTGCCCCTACAGACTCTCCCAGCATCGATTAGGGGTATGTAGCTTAAATTCCTCAAGATTTGAAACTTTATTTCGGGAAATAGATTTCAGGCGGGGAATAGGGCCAAATGGAGGGCTGCTGGATGAAGAGTCCTGCTTGCAGTTTGCCGCCTCCTGTTAAGTCTCTCACGCCGGCGCGGTGCTGGCGCATGCACCATGACGTCAGGGGCTCTGCGACGTCTGATTGGCTCTGCACCGAGGCTACGTCGAGGTGAAAGGCTCCGCTCACCGTCGCTTCCAAGTTCCTTGGTTGGGTTCAAGGCGTTTCAGCTCCAGTGTCGTGCTCAGGCCTCGGGCTAGGTGTCGAAGGCCTCAGGTCGTGGCAGCCTCCAGCACGTTCCTCCTGCTGCAGCCGCCTTAACGGCCGGGCCCAGCGCGGCCTCCAGGGCAGCGCGAGGCCGTGGCGGTCGAGAACGAGGCGCGCGGGGTCTGGGCTGCCGACAGCGCTGCCCAGCAGCAGGTAGTCGGTGCCTGGCCGCAAGCGCAGGCAGCCACACGCCAGGTCAGCGCGGGGCACCCAGGCGTCCTGGTCCCCGCGGCGCACGGGCCGTGCCCGCTGCTTGTACACGGCCAGCACGCGCACGGCCAGCTGCCGCCACGCCTGGCCCGCTACCTCAGACGCTAGCACCTGCGCGTGGAGAACTGAGGGGAGGGAAGATGTCAGGCCTAGGCTGGCGGGGGCCTACAGGGTCCTGTTGGGGTCAGTTCTGGTGGGGAGGGGCCCAGGACTGGTGAGTGGGCTTCAGGGATCGCGTCAAGCAGAGAGATCTTGAATCTTTGAGGGTTTGAACCTAAGTCGTGAGGGGTGGGGCCTGCTGGAGGAGACAGTGTCAGGGAGGGGTGGAGAATTAGGAGGGTGGGGTTTATGGTTTGGGAGGTGGAGTTCCAGGATTGCGATTGGGAAGGGTGAGGGGCTACACGTTGTTCATTAGAGGGAGGAAGTCCAGACAGAGAGGAGCCCAGGAACCTGGGATTTGTTGGATGGGGCTTTGAGGGGCAATTTAGGAGCAAAAACAAATTACGGTAAAGGTATGGGGTTTGGGGTATAAAGAGACCCTACGTGCTTCCTGACCAGTAGGTGGGCAAAACAAAAAAAGGGCCCTACAGTAGGTGGGACCAGGAACAAGGCAGAAAAGTCAGGGCCAGGGTTGCTAATACAGCGGGGTCAGAAGGTATCAGTAGTGGAACCCTGAAAGAGAGGTATTTTGGGGGGAGGCCCTCTGGGATGGATTTGGGGAGCCAGAAGGTAGAAGTTGGTCCCTGGAACCTGAGAGTTGAGGTCATACTAACAGTGAGTCAGAAAAATGTACTTTCTGAGGAGGTGAGGTTAGACAGTGTTGGGGGCTAGGCTCTGGCTAGCAAGCTTGGTCTGCAGGGCAGAAGATCCTGGTGGGAGGAAAAGTCTCCACCTTCCAAAGCCCAGGACACTAGTGGCCAGATGACCATCCTGAGAGAGGAAGAGTTTGGGGACCTATACATTGAGGGGAAGTAGCTGGGGCTGGTCTAGATTCGTGGACTGGGCTGAATGTCTGAGTATTTAAGAGACTTGAGTTACCTGAGGTCATAGGCCCCAGGGTCATTGGGCAGCTGTGGACTGAAAGATTAGGAAATTGTGGAGTGAATCTTTGTGGGGAATGGGGCTAAGGCTCAGATAATCTGGGACCATGAAGGGAGATAGAAAGGATCTGAGATAGGCAGAACAGGGCAAAGGCCCCTTCCATTCAACAGGTTCCTCTTTCTCCTTCCATCCCTCAGAGACATCAGGCTGAAGGAGATACTGAAACTCTACAAGCCCAAGATATGGGGCAAGAGGAGATGCAGGAAGGTAGTGAATCCCTCCTCCCCACTGCCCCCTCCCCCATTTGTCCTCTGTCCCTTCAGTTCCTAGATCAGGAAGTACCCTTTAGAATCCAACACCCTTTCCCATTTAAGATGAAAAAATTGAAGGCCAGAGATGTGGAGGCAGTCATCACATCATCTGTGCCGCCTCTGGCTGTTTTTCTCCCCGGCACTCACCGTAATCCTGCTGGCAGTATCTCCGAAGGCTCATGTGTACCCTGGTGTCCGAGATATTGCAGTAGTTTTGACACTGAGGATCTGGGGAAGGTCAGGCTGTCTGCAGTGGGCTCCTGATGCCTGGACCACAGCGTACTATCCCACCCATCCCTGCAATCCATGTTGGTGGCCAGCTGGGGTGCCTAAACCCTTGGGACTGGTCTCAAGGGGTGACCCTTGCATCCCATTCTGTGTAACTGACGACCGAGTCAGCCCATCCCCGATCCCTCTGGCTGCCAGCCTGTCTTACCAGAGCTGTAAACACCAGGGGTAGTAGCAAGGGTGGTTGTTGCCTCTGGAATTCCTGTGAGACCAAAGAAGAAATTTAACCTCTCAGCCATCCCCACTCTTCCCCCAGGAATCCAGGCATCCAGACTCTAAGTGTTAAGTTCCTTAAGACCCAAGAGTGCAAGCATCTCTTGCCACCTCTTCCCAGGACCAGGAGTCCAGGCCCTCAGCCCCCTTCTGACCAAGACTGAGGAGTCTGGAATTTCAGTCCCTACCTTCCTGAGGACCCATGTCCCAGACCCCCAGCCCTCACCACCCTTGCCCCCTGGGATTGTGTCCTTCCCACCCCACTGAGGACTTGTGGCCCTGCCCCTCAGGACTCACGCTGGCAGGGCATACTGGGGGAGCGGCTCTGCTGGTAGCCAGGACCACAGCGGTTGCATGTCAGGCCGGTGACCCCTAACTTGCAGGAGCATTGCCCACTGGTTTGGTTGCAGTTGCCTCCTGTTGCCCCAATAGGGTGGCACTGGCAGGCTGCGTGAGGAGAGGAGCTGGGGGAATAGGGTATCTGGGTCCCAGATGCTCCCTCCCAATTCTGCAGCCACCTCCCTGCTCAGACCCAGGCATCCAGACCCCCAGCCCCTCTTCCCTCAGACCTGGGAGTCTAACCTTGCCTCCTTTTCCCCTGGGCCTGGCTTCAGGCCATACTCACCCCTGCAGGCCTTGCGGCTGGTGATAGGCTGGCTGGGGTCCCTCCAGAACCCTGGCTGGCAGTAGTGGCAGTGCCGCCCAGCTGTGTGGTGGCGGCACCGCTCACAAACACCCCCGCTCCGACCACCTGACAGCCTGAACAACTCAGAGTTGAACCGGCAGCGCCGGGCATGCTGGTTGCAGGAGCAGGCTAGGAGCAACGTGGACAGGGCACATGAGGGCCAGGCTTTCTGTTCCCCTGTCCCCAGCTTTCTCCTCACTGCCCTGCTCTCATAGAAGGAAATAAAGAGAGAATCCAACACAAAAGAAATGGCTGGGGCTCCCTGGGTATGCCTGGATCCCAGAACATCTTCAGTCTCATCTTTAAAATGGGTACATTGGGCCGGGTGCAGTGGCTCATGCCTATAATCCTGGCACTCTGGGAAGCCGAGGCAGGAGGATCGCTCAAGGTCAGGAGTTCGAGACCAGCCTGAGCAAGAGTGAGACCCCGTCTCTACTAAAAATAGAAAGAAATTAGCTAGACAACTAAAAAAATATATATAGGCCAGGCGTGGTGGCTCACGCCTGTAATCCTAGCACTCTGGGAGGCCAAGGCAGGCGGATTGCTCGAGGTCAGGAGTTCGAAACCAGCCTGAGCAAGAGCGAGACCCCGTCTCTACTAGAAATAGAAAGAAATTAATTGGTCAACTAATATATATGTAAAAAATTAGCTGGGCATGGTGGCGCATGCCTGTAGTCCCAGCTACTCGGGAGGCTGAGGCAGTAGGATTGCTTGAGCCCAGGAGTTTGAGGTTGCTGTGAGCTAGGCTGACGCCACGGCACTCACTCTAGCCTGGGCAACAAAGTGAGACTCTGTCTCAAAAACAAAAAAAAAATATATATATATATATATATAAAAAATTAGCCAGGCATGGTGGCACATGCCTATAGTCCCAGCTACTGGGGAGGCTGAGGCAGGAGGATCACTTGAGCCCAGCAGTTTGAGGTTGCAGTAAGCTAGGCTGATGCCATGGCACTCTAGCCTGGGCAAGAAAGCCATGCTGTGTCTCTCAAAATAAATAAATAAAAGAAAATGAGTACATTGGACTGGAACTGGATAGGCCTGGTGGGACTCGTGAGCCTCCTGCAGGTCCCTCTGAAACTGTGGGTGCCTAGAGAAGAGCAGGGCATTGGCTATGGAGCCAGACTCCCATGTCTACCATTCTCTGTTCCTGGAGCAAGTGACTTCTTTTTGTAGCCCAGTTTGGCTGTAAAATAGCATGTATAGTGGTTTTTTATTTATTATTTTTTTTTGAGACACAGTCTCACTCTGTTGCCCAGGCTAGAGTGCCATGGCGTCAGCCTAGCTTATAACAACCTCAGACTCCTGGGCTCAAGTGATTCTCCTGCCTCAGCCTCCTGAGTAGCAGGGACTACAGGCATGTGCCACCATGCCTGGCTAACTTTTTCTATATATATTTTTAGTTGGCCAATTAATTTCTTTTTTTTTTAAATTTTTTTCTTCTTTCTTTATTTATTTATTTTTCTTTTTTGGCCTGCCTACATGTCCAAATAATTTCTATTCTATTTATAGTAGAGACAGGGTCTCGCTCTTGCTCAGGCTGGTTTCGAACTCCTGACCTTGAGCGATCCGCCCACCTTGGCCTCCCAGAATGCTAGGATTACAGGCCTGAGCCACGGTGCCCGGCCTATAACGTTTACTTCATGAGACTTACATGAGATAGAGTAGATACTAATATAAAGTGCTCAGCCCAGGGCGCCTAGCACAGAGCTGTCTTGTGCTTCCATATGCCAGGTGCTTGACATATCTCCTTTTCATAACGGCTCTGTCAGGTTGGTATTCATCATCCCTATTTTACAGATGGGGTAAACTAAGGCACAGGGAGGTGATGTCACTTGCCTGAGGTAATGCAGCTAGGGTGTGGTCAGAGGTCAGATTTGAACCCAAGACTTCTGGTCTAGAGTTGTTCTTAGCAGCCATACTCTAGTAATTCTTACACAGTTCATGTGAGGATTATTTAGGATGTATGTTATTTTTCTGGGAGCATTTATCGGGTTTTCTAAGGCAGTGGCTCTCGAACTTTACTGCTCATCAGAATTACCAGGGACACATTTATTGAGAAAAACAACACAGATTTTAGGATTTACCCTAGGGCTTCTGCCAGGCCCAGGGATTTGTATCTCTAGCAAGGATTCCAAAGTGAGATGCTGATGTTCATGGGCTACTCTTTGAGGATACCGGGACTTAAGGGGGTTTTGACTTAAAGGGGTTTGAGAGGCCTGGACTGGCAGGTCCCAGAGAGTACAGAGGAGTCATGGGGTGGTCAGGGAGCTGAGATAGCTGTGTGTTCTTGGGAAAATGACTCTCCCTCTCTGAGTCTCCGTTTTCTCCCTGTCTAGTGGGGATCTTGATCCTTCTCTCTCATGATTTTTGTGGCCATTGGTGGTGGCAATGCTGTTCAGATCATTAATAGAGTCAGGCTTTGGTGTCTTCCTGACCCAAGGGTCACCCACTTCCTCTCTGGAAAGCTCAGATGGGGGAGGGGAGATGCAGACCACCATGCCTGGCAAGCCCAGCATAGGAGTTTGTTTCACCCCACCCTTCTCCACCGCAGCACTGCCAGTCTCCTACCCAGGCCTGGAGGGCAGTGCCCAGCTCAGCCTCGGAGTGCCTGGCGATCCTCAAGACAGCCTGTCCAGGCCCCGGATGAAGCCCACCCCACCCTCCGGCCAGGTGAGTCTCCCCACCCTCTCTCCCCTGCAGGGGGCAGATCTTCAGGTTTGGCTAGTGCGAATGGTGCCACTGGGTGGAGGCCTTGAGTTGGCAGGGGGGACAATAATCCTAAACAGTGGTGACCTCCAGGGAAGTCCTGATGGGGATGAGCGCAGAGTAGGGGGTTAAGGGTGGTAGGATAGTCTGAGTTGGTCCACGTGATGCTCTTCACATGTGAGGAAAGATGTTGGGAGTGGCAAAAGACGTGGGAGGTAGAGAGGGAAGGCCAGGGAACTCGGGTCCGTGCACGCAGGTGTGTCTGTCCTTGTGTCTGTTGGTGGAGCACAGTCACCTCCCAGGCCTGGAAACACACTCAGACCCTTTACCAAGGGTCACAGGCTGGAGGTGGGAGGGTTGGAAGGGACTGACACTGTCTGTCCCTGAGGAGGGGCTGCTGGAGGGAAACAGGAATGACCTAGCCTGGAAGCACAAGTCTGGAAGCGCTGGAGGGAGAGGTGGCATTGAGTGGGACCTGCCTGGGGGCGCTTGTCCAACTGGGTGGCCCAGTGGATAATCATGGCATCTGCAAAGGCCTGGCTGTCCAAGTCCAGTCCCTTGCTGGCAGTGGGACTCAGGGAAAGTGACATTTCCCCTTGGGCCTCACCTTTCTTACCTGGGGAATCGTGACATTGGCAGATGCTCAGGGACCTCTTCCTTCGTGTGAGGTACTGTGTCAGGCTCTATTCTAAGGGCGTTATGTACTTAAACTCAGCGACTTTTCACTACAGCCTATAAAGGATTTGTTGTCACTAATCCCCACTCTATAGGGGAGGAGACCGAGGCACAGAGATGTTAAGTAACTTGCCTAAGGTCACTCAGTAACCTTAAGTAACACTTAAGTAACTTGCCTAAGGTAAGCAGAGGAGCTGAGATTTGGGCCCAGGTAGTCTAGCTGGCTACCAAGGCTGTGCTCCTGTCTGCTACTCTGAACACCTGGTGTGACAGCACCCGACAGGAGCTCGGCAGGGACAAGCTGAGACCCCAGAACTCAGCTTCCCAAGCTCAGATCCTGGCCCTGCCACATACAGCTGCCACGAGTCCTTGTGCAGGGGCTTCCCACCTCTAGCCTCAGTCTCCTCATCTGTAGAATGGGCCTGCTGACAATCCCTGCCTGGCACATAGTAGTAGCTGATTGATAAGTATGTGTTTAATGACTGAATGCTTTCCCTCTGTGATTGACATGAAGAGTCAGGAAACACCCAGCTGCCCTGTTCTCCTGCAGCTGTTCAACCAGCAAGGCCCTGGGCTGGGTGCTCGGGAAATGTCATTGACATCATCATTATCATCATCACAGGCCAATGAATATTGGGCAGAGATTGGAGCCCCGCTGGGCAGGCAGGCCCCGTTGCAGCTGAGATGCAGGGCAGGCGGGGAGGAGACTGGGTCCAAGACAGTGCCGGCAGAAGCAAGGAGCATCCCGCCCCTGTAGGGACAAGGGTCACAGTGGCGGATGAGGGTGGGGAGAGGCCCAGGACTCACGCAGGCAAGGGTGGGGGTGCCGGGGCGTGGCGGGCCGCCATGGCCAGTCGCGATGGGATGGGCGGCAGCTCTCGCAGCCTGGGCCGGTGGTATGGTGGCGGCAGCGGCAGCGAGGGGGCCGGGCACGGGCGGCACAGCGGGCCGCATGTCCGTGGCACTGGCAGCGACCTCTCAGCCCAGCTGCTGCTAGCCCCGCTCGGCCTCCGAACTCCACTCGGAGGTGGCTGGCTGCCATACTGGCCTTAGGGCCTGGTGTGGAACGGAAAGTCACCCTCTCCGGGCCCCCCAAGGCCCCAGGCCAGGCGGATCTGCGCCACAGCAGCTTCCAGGGACCCCCAGCGGCCCAGGCAGCAGACAGGACTAGGGCTGGGGGTCCTGGGGTGCAGAAGCGCAGGCTGACAGATGTCAGGAGGAAAGGGCCACCCAGGGCCAGGGTCAGGCTGCCATTGCAGGTGCCCCCGGGGCTGAGGACATTCCCTGGGGAGAGGGTGCAGGCCTGAGGGCAGGAGGCTGCCACACCGGCCAGCTGGGTCACTGGCGGGAGGCAGAAGCGAGGGTGGCCCCCTGGATCGTAGCATGGGTCTGCGGTGGCATGGCTCAGGAGGAGCAAGAGGACAAAGGTCACAGGCATGGTCACATCAGGGGAAGCACCTGGAGAGGAGAGGAGGTGTCCGGGCTGGGGACCTCAGCCTGTCAACTTCCACCCGGCTCCCTGCTGAACGCCCGCATTCCACCCCAGCCCTGCCTAAGCCCCCTCCCGGCTACTTCGAAGCGAGGAAAATAGTTCCATCTGGGGAGAATTACTGTTTACATAACCCAAAGGGGAAAGAACGCAAGCAAAATTGAGAATTTTGCCTGAACTAATCCGTAGCTTAACACCCCAGAGTTATCCGTCAGTGTCGAGGGGGCAGAGGTCCCTGGGGAGAGGCAGGGGCCCAACAGACGCACAAACCTAGAGAGGGACCTGTGTGAGACAGGGAACAGGGCTGGACTGGGCAGGGGACTGAGGCCGGACGGAGACTCAGTGGCAAAGCTGTAGAAGAAGAGACGGAGGCAGAGGCAGCGAAGCCAGTAGGGAGAAGAGCACAGGCCTAAGGCAAGTGCCAGGTCCAGAGAGGGAACCTCACAGACGGGGGCAAACGGGGTAGGCCAGAGCTGGGACAGACAGGCCGGGCACCCAGGAAGCGAGGGGCAGGCTGGCAGGGCCTGGAGGCTGGGAGGGCAGGCAGGCAGGCCCCAAGACACCCAGGAGAGCCTGAGGATAGCCGCCAGCCGGGCAGGCCCTGGGGAGGGCAAGAGAGGGGAGGGGAAGGGCAGGCGGTGCCCGGCGGGGGATCAGAAGCGAGAGGCTGAGGCCCCAGCCCACCAGGATCAGAGCGGTGGCCCTTTCCCACGTGGGGCCCTAACCTCATTCTCCACACCCTGGGCACGGAGGGGGATTATCACCAAACAACCTCTCTGCCACCCACCCACCCACCCCCAGCACTCCACCCTTAACCCTTTCCCACCCAAGTGCAAAGCCCAGAGACTAGAGCTCAGGAAAAGGGTGGGGGGCCTGGGGGCTGGAAGCCTGGGCCACTCTGGGGTGGGGAGCAGGACGCAGATCCCTGTGCGGTTGGGAAAGCAGATGCCTGGGGTTCCCTTTGGACTTGGATATGCGGACCTCAGGTTGGATTTCTGGGACTTATGGGTCATCTCAGCCCCCTCCTGCCATCCTAGGCCTCAGGGTCTGGGGATCAGAGTCCCCACATCCTCCACCCATCCGAGGGTCCCCAGAACAGATGGGGGAACAGATGTTAGGGGTGCTATGTAACGAGAGAGGAGAAAGCAGGAGGGTGAGGCAGGGCAGGTGGCTCATTCCAAGGTACCCAAGGGGACCAGAAGTCCAGACCCCTGGGATGGCAGCAGCTAGGGAGGACCCGGCTCTGAAATGCCCCCACTTTCCTCTTCCAGGGCTGGCAGTCTCTAGTGAGGAGCTCACCCTGGACCGGGGACTTCAGAGCCTTTCTGGGGTCCCTGCCCAGGCCCCTGGCTCCGAGTCTGCACCCAGGCCTGCCCCTGGGCTGGGAGTCTGTAGGGCACCCTGGGGATGAGGGCTGGATCCCACCCTCCCCTAGCTCGATTTCACCACCCCTGCGTCCCCACGCTGTTGCCATATGCAGACTGTGCCTCCCCCGCCTCAGATGAGGGGCATCGCCCTCCTCCCCTCCCAAGGAGCCTGGCGCCATTTTGCGCTGGCTCATTCGCCGGCGTTTCCCTGGCCCCTCAGTCCCAGCCTTGTTAAGGACCCAGCCCTCCCATGTCCCACTTATCTCTTTCTGGGTGTTTCAGGGGGCACCACCTTCTGGCCCTTAGCACCTTGGGGAACCAGGCTGTGAGTCCCCTGGTGCTCCTCAGGGATCCAGAAGCCAGTCCCTGCCCATGAGGACCCAGATGTCCGATCCCCAGCCACTACCCTCCAGGGATCTGTAGCCCCCCACACCCTCTTAAGGAGCAGAGTCTGGCCATGCTCCCAGCAGAACCACCGTTAGGCCTCTCGCCTGGGATCCATCTGGAACCCAGGCTTCCTTTTCCCATCTCTTGGCATGCAGCCCCCTGACCCCCAGCCCTTAGGCCCCTGATGTTTGTCAAACCTGAGCCCAGGAAGAGAGCGTCCTGGTCCTGGTCCTGGTCCCACAGTCAGGTCCCCGCAGGCTCAGGCTCTTCTTCCCGCAGGAGCGCTGCAGCGTGGTGGGCTCTCAGGAGGGAGTGGCGAGTGGCTGTTCTCAGGCCCCAGGCTAGTGGGGGTTCTGGGCGGGAGCTCAGAGCCCGCAGAATCCAACACCACTGCCGCCCCCACCCCCGCCCCATCCCGGCTCTCCCCACAGGGACCCCTGCCAGCCAGGCCACCAGCGACTGTGTGGGACGCCAGAGCTGTTGCCCCCAACAGTCTTGCAGCCGGACAGCCCCGAACAGACTGGCCTAGGAGGCTCAAGACAGGTAGGAGGGCACGGCCGCAACGTGTGTGTCCTGGGTCTGGGGTCCCGCTCCACTCCCATGCGACCCCTGCCCCACTGGCTCAGCTCTGCCTTGTGGTCGCCATGATCCAGGCAAGGGCTGCCACGGTGGGTGGCAGTCAGGGCCGCTTGCCCTGAGGTGGGGTTCCTGCCTCTGGCTGTGTGACCCCAGGCCAGCCCCTCCTCCTCCCCTCCCGAACCTTCTGTCAGCTGTGGGCTAACTGGGCGATAATGTCAGTCATTTTCAAGCCCTAAAAATCCTCATTCTTAGAGGGATCAGATCAGCCTTGGGGAAACCCAGAAACTGCTTTATAAGATGGTGGGAGGGCAGCGAGGGAGCTGAGGTCACCTCGGGCCTATGTGGGCCCCTAGGGAGTGAGGGCCAGAGCTCAAAGGCTGTCCCCAGCCAGCATCCTGCCTGCCTCAGCGCTTTCCTCGGGACATTTGCATGCGGATGTTGCTTCCAACTCTATGCCCTATCCGAATGGATTTGACTAGAAAAATAATGTTTTCTGTCACTTCCTGCTGAGAAAAGCAAGAGCCTTGGGAGGTTGGGACACAGCCTGTGTGCTGCTGTGTGGCCCTGAGCGCCCGGGGCACATACTGTGGCATAGTTGGGCCTGATCCTGACGGTGGTTTGGGGATCCTCTGCCCTGTGCCTGCCCTGGGTGATGGAGGTTGGGGGGGCACAGCCAGGGCCATGGAGATTCTGGTTCCAGGTGACTCTTGGGCACCACGTTGGGGGGCACTGTGGCAGGGGCAGGGGCGTAGGAAGTGATTCCAAAAGCTGTGAGGAAGAGTTAGCCGCAAGACGAAGGGATTGGGTGCCGAGACACCCCCATATCAAAGCAGGGCGAGTTGGATCCTGGGCCAGGCGGTGTGTGAGCCACAGGGTAGAGTACTGTGGTAAGATTCACGGCCCTAATCCGTTCTGCTGGTCCTGCCCAAGCCGCCCTGCATGCAGACACTGCAGGCCACAAACCCCTGTCCAGGCAGGCTCACCAGCTGGCGGGGCAGAGACACAAAACAGCAGCAAATAATCCCGTTCTCTAGAATGTTAGAAGGTGTCCAGTGCTTTGGAGCAAAAGCAAGTAGGGAAGTGGGGGGCAGGGGTGTTGTAGATTTAAGTGGAGTGAAGAGGACATTTGGGCTGAGAGACCTGAAGGAGGCCAGGGCCGCCACAAAGGGAGGCTAGTTTTGCTGCCAGAGAAAATGCAGGAAGAAAGTTTAGGTTTCATTGTATTTTCCTCCCACCCAGGGACAAGAAATCTCTTAAACTCTTTTTCCCTGGAGGTCTGCTTTCTTCCTCACTTCAGGTCTTTTTTTTTTTTTAGACAGAGTCTCACTTTGTTGCCTGGGCTAGAATGCTGTGGCATCAGCCTAGTCACAGCAACCTCAGTGTCCTGGGCTCAAGGGATCCTCCTGCCTCAGCCTCCTGAGTAGCTGGGACTACAGGCATGTGCCACCATGCCCAGCTGATTTTTTTCTATATATTTTTAGTTGGCCAATTAACTTCTTTCTATTTTTCGTAGAGACGGTCTCGCTCTTGCTCAGGCTGGTTTTGAACTCCTGACCTTGAGGAATCCTCCTGCCTCGCCTCCTAGAGTGCTAGGATTATAGGCTTCACTTCAGGTCTTAATTGCTTGATTGGCCTGAGGATTAGCACCCCTGATGGTGCCTTGTGGGGGGGAGGAGAGGGGATAGGGCAGCAAGAGCAGAAACAAATCCCCAAGTTGGGGAGGAAACTTTTTTTTTTGAGAGTGGGGGGGAGGTTCCTCAAGTTCTGGAAGTACACGGAAGGCTGGGCCTGTCAGGACACAGCTCAGAGGTGGGCTCAGCATGGTACCATGTGACCCCCAGCTCTGGGCGTCCACAGCCCTTTTATCCCTGCCTCAGTGACCCAGAAATAACAGAGGCCCCATGAGGCAGGGCAGGTCACACATGTAACTGGGCAGAGAGAAGGATTGGTAGGGGACTGCTCTTTCCTGGACAGCACAGTGACTGACAGTCCAGACTCCCCAGCCATGCTCCCTGGATTCAAATCCAGGCTCCTCTTCTTTCCTAGCTGTGTGACTTAAAACAAGTTTCTTAACCTCTCTGTGCCTTAGTTTCCTTATCTGTTAAATAGGGATTTAAAAAATGTACCTTCCTCATTGGGGGTGGGGTCATAAGGATTAAATGAATGAACTAAGCCATGCCCACAGCCCCTTATCGAATATTCTGGGCCAGCCGTGTTTTGGAACCTTCTGCATTTTGGCACCGATGCTGGATGTATAGACCTGTACTACATGACACCCCTGTCGAGGTCGGCACCACATCTCCTTATTAAACATGGTATCGTGGCCAGGCGCGGTGGCTCACACCTGTAAGCCCGGCACTCTGGGAGGCCGAGGTGGGAGGATCACTCAAGGTCAGGAGTTCGAAACCAGCCTGAGAAAGAGGGAGACTCTGTCTCTACTAAAAATACAAAGAAATTAATTGGCCAACTAATATATATAGAAAAAATTAGTGGGGCATGGTGGTACATGCCTGTAGTCCCAGCTACTCAGGAGGCTGAGGCAGGAGGATTGCTTGAGTCCAGGAGTTTGAGGTTGCTGTGAGCTAGGCCAACACCATGGCACTCTAGCCTGGGCAACAGAGTGAGACTCTGACTCAAAAAACAAACAAACAAACAAACAAAAAAACATGGTATTGTTTCGGCAACAAAGCACATGGGCGTTCACACACAGAGAAATAAAGTCTACAAATAGCCACTTGACCCTTCAGGCCAGGTGTTATTCTCAAATGAGTTCAGTTCAGGTTGGGGTTTGCCACCCACCTACAGGAAAACAGCCAGTGAGGAATCCCGGCCTGGCATGCAGGGGCACCATAGACTCGGCAGCCTCCAGCCATTAGTTTCCGCAGCTTTCCGGTTGTCCGGGCTGATGAACAGCCACGAGAGGGAGCTCCTGAGACTCCAGGAAATGGAATAAGGTGATCGCCGGATGGCTGCTTGGATTTGCAAGGCCCAGAGCAAAATGCAAACTCGGGGCCCCTTGTTCGGAATTTATGAAGAATTTTAAAGTGGTGACAATAGAGCAATAGGCCTGTCTGGGACTCCATGCGACTGCCCTGTGAAGGCGGACCCGAGTGGCAGGCACCTTTGTCCTGAGCTGGCTTCTCCCCAGCTGCCCAAGCTCCTGTCCCTGGTCCCTGCCCTCCTGGCCCATCCTGGCCTTGGGACCTGCCTGGGGCTCTGGCTATGCTAGGGAGCGAGGCTTCTCCTCCACCGGGCAGGACCCCAAGTTGGGTGGGCAGTGTAATAATGATTGGGACAGAATTTTCATCAGCTAAGTGAAAAGAGGGGTTTGAGTAGATTTAATTTGCTTTTTGGAAGTTAAAGCAGTGAAGGAGATGTTTCTCCATATTTTGTCCTCATGTGATAAGAGCCAGCGGACCTCTCTGGGGACCCAGGAGAAACCATTCCAGGTGGGCCCCAGAGTGTTCAGATTTCCCAAAAGGGTCAGATTAATCAAGTGAGTAGCCCTGGAATAGAGGAGGACGAGAGCTGAGGTGGCCTGCAGAGCCCCAGCAGGCAGAGGGAGGGATGGGAGGGGGTGAGGCAGGAGCTGGAAAGTTGGGGGATGGGTATATGCAGTCCAGCGCTTCAGCGAGGACAGGGGTGGGGGGGACGATCACTGAGTTGTGGCCATTGGAGTGGCCACAGGGAAACCACAGGACATTGGTCAGAGGAGTAGAGCAGGGGAGAAGAGAAAAGCAGATCAGGACTCGGTGGAGACTGGTGAGCCAAAACTTTCTGGGAATGTGGGTGAGTCCTGGGGGAGAGGCTGACTCAAAAGGATCAGTCCCCAAAGAAGGGCCATCTATCCTGTTATGAGGATGGAGAATAGGGGGTGGGGTGTGGGCCAAGGATCACAGAGCCCAACCAAGCCCGGCAGAGTCAGGGCTGGAACCGGCGTTAACAGTGTGGCTCCCCAGTCAGTCACCTCCACACACCCACCATAATCAGAAAGACGGGTGATGGCCAGCAGTGGCAGGGATGTTGAGGGATGGAGACCCTCGTGCACTGCTGCTTGCTGGGAATGGAAAGTGGGGCAGCTGCTTTGGACAAGACTGGCAGGTCCTGACATGATGACAGGCAGAGGTACCCGGTGGCCAGCAGCTCCACTCCCATGGGAATGCCCGAGAGAATGAAGGCACGTGTCTACACAGAAACATGTACATGCGTATCCATGGCAGCATGATTCACAGTACAACAGATGGAAATCCCCCAAATGTCTATCAGCTGATGATAAGTAGCCTATCAAACAGGGGACTATTATTCAGCCATAACAAAGCAATGAAGCTCTGAACCCTGCTGTCCCGACCCGCGGGACCTTCTGTTACTCGTGGGGGTCAAGGGGGACCGTGCCTGAAAGAGATGGGCGAGAGAAAGGAACGAGACCAAGCAAATGGTTGTCAAGGTCTACTTTACTTGGATTCTTTGTAGGTTTTATAAGCATACAGAAACAAGGAAGTAGAAACAGAAAAATAGAGTGGGGTGACGATGAGGCTTGGGTTTGGGCTAATTAGCCCCAACCAGCGTCTTATCGGTATGGAGGCTGTTTGTGACTGATTACTCAACCCCAACCTGGCAGGTGGTCGGGAACAATGGCAGTTAGCACACCCTGGAGCATTTCGCGGTCAGCACGTCATGGAACGCATTCTTTTCGGAGCTATAGCTGGAGGGTGGGGTGCTGTTTTTGTCCTAGGAATTTTCAAGGGCCAGGCCCTTGTGTAAGACAAGTCATAGTGGTGTTGAGGGTCCTGGCTTCTAACACCCTGCTACAATGTGGTGGACCTTGAAAACATCAAACTTGGTGAAAGAAGCCAGACCCAAAAGGCCACATATTGTGTGATTGCATTTATAGGAAATATCCAGAATAGGTAAATCCTTGGAGGCAGAAAACAGATTCGCTGGAGTGGGAACGTAAGCTGGAAAGATTGGGGGGAAGTTGGCTAAAGGATACAGGGTTTCTTTTATTTATTTATTTATTTATTTTATTTCGGCATATTATGGGAGTACAAATTTTAAAGTTTCAATAAATGCCCTTTCCCCTAGGGTTTCTTTTTGGGGTGATGCAAAAGTTCAAAAATTGATAGTGATGGTTGCACAGTTGAATATATGATAAGCCATCTAGTTGCATACTTTAAGTGGGTGAATAGTGTGGCTTATGAATTATATCTCAATAAATTGGTTAACCCCAAAACACCTGCTCATCACAGACCTACATTCAAAAGCTAACCCTATACAGCTTGATGTGTTAGTGAAGAGAGAATGTTCTCAGGCATGAAGTGGGAACTGCTGGTTGCTTAAGTCCCGGGCCAGAAACAGGCAGGGGGGCACTTTCAACATACTTAATTGTGCAAGGTAGTCACGGGTCCAGCCAGATTCAAGGGAAAGACGTGCTGTGACAACCCCATTTTTTAGAGGAGGAAACGAGGAGTTAAATAATATCCTAAAGGTTGCCCAGCCAGCAGATCCGGCCTCTGGGTCTGCCCTCCTGGTCTGTGCTTGTAACTTCCCCATGGCTCCCACCTTAATGGGGAACAAGGATTCTTGTCTCTTTTGTTCTCTGCTTGCTTCCTGCCTCTGGTGTGTGCCTGGCAGGTAGTGGACACTCTGGAAGTGTTTAGTTTACAACACTTACAGAGCATTTCCAGGATGCTAGGCACTGTTCAAAGAACATTACAAAATTATCACATTTAATCCATGGAACCTCATGAGATAGTTCTGTTAGGTTGAAGCATAGAAATGGCTGCAAATGTAGGTAAAATATGATTGAATATTGGCACTTTTAAATGGTTCCACCTAACCATCCCTGCTTAAAGGGTGAGGAAACTAATATTCAGAGAGGTTTAGTAACTTTACTAAAGTCATACAGCAGCAGCAAGGGGTGGAGCTGGGACTCAGACCCAGGCGGAAAAATCCCAGGGTCTGTGTTCTTGGGTTGCCACTGTGGTACTCACGAAGCAGGTTTAGATGGATGGAATGAGAGTAAATGAATGAATTTGGGAGGTGGTGAGTGAAGAGGCTCATATCCCCCAGCCATCCCTCCTGACTATGCCCTTTCTTCCCTCCATGCAGCCTTCAAGGGATTCTGGGTCAGCCGCCCTTCCTTCTCCACCATCTACTTCCTCTTTGGCATCTTCGTGGTATCCGTCATCTTCCACTGCCACCAGCGCCTGGCTCTCGTGCCCTCCCCCTGGGCATACTCGGCCCATGTGGTCCTGGTCCCCACACACCTTGGCCGGGAGGGGCTGTTCACCATCAACTCCAAAGGCCGCCTGGGGAACCAGATGGGCCAGTACGCCACGCTGTACGCCTTGGCCAAGGCGAATGGGCGGCCGGCCTTCATCCCGCGCCAGATGCACAGCGCCCTGGCCCCCATCTTCAGAATCAGCCTCCCGGTGCTGCACAGCGCCACGGCCAGCAGGATCCCCTGGCAGACCTACCACCTGAACGACTGGATGGAGGAAGAGTACCGCCACATCCCCGGCAAGTACGTGCGCCTCATGGGCTACCCCTGCTCCTGGACCTTCTACCACCACCTGCGCCCCGAGATCCTCCAGGAGTTCACGCTGCACGACCACGTGCGCGAGGAGGCCCAGGCGTTCCTCCGGGCCCTGCAGGCCAAGTGGGCCAGGCAGGTGACTTTCGTGGGGGTCCACGTGCGCCGGGGGGACTATGTCCGAGTCATGCCGAAGGTGTGGAAGGGTGTGCTGGCCGACCGGGGCTACCTGCGGCAGGCCATGGACTGGTTCCGGGCCCGCTACCACACCCCAGTCTTTGTGGTCACCAGCGATGACATGGCCTGGTGCCGGGAGAGCATCAGTGGCTCCCTTGGGGATGTGATGTTCGCAGGCAATGGCCTTCAAGGCTCCCCGGCCAAGGACTTTGCACTGCTCACACAGTGTAACCACAGCATCATCACTGTGGGCACCTTCGGGATCTGGGCTGCCTACCTGGCGGGCGGGAACACCGTCTACCTGGCCAACTTCACCCTGCCCGACTCCCCCTTCCACATGGTCTTCAGGCCACAAGCGGCCTTCCTGCCAGAGTGGGTGGGCATCGCTGCTGACCTTGGACAGGCCTCACAGAACCGCCCCTAGCCCTGTGCAGGTCCCTCCCTCATCGTCAGAGCTCTCAAAGCAGCAGGAGCGTGGGCACAGTGGCTAACGCCTGTAATCCAGGCACTCTGGGAGGCTGAGGTGGGAGGATCGTTTGAGCTCAGGAGTTCGAGACCAACCTGAGCAAGAGTGAGACCCTGCCTCTACTAAAAAATAGAAAGAAATTAGCTGGACAACTAAAAAAATATATATATAAAATTAGCCGGGCATGGTGGCGCATGCCTGTAATCCCAGCTACTCGGGAGGCTGAGGCAACAGGATCACTTGAGCCCTGGAGTTTGCTGTGAGCAAAGGCTCACAGTTTGCTGTGAGCAAAGGCTCATTGCTATGAGCTAGGCTGACGCCACGGCACTCTAGCCTGGGCAACAGAGTGAGACTCTGTCTCAAAAAAATTAAATAAAATAAAAAATAAGCATTGTTGGGCTGGATGCGGTAATCACGCCTGTAATCCTAGCACTCTGGGAGGCCGAGGGGCAGATTGCTCAGGTCAGGAGTTCGAACCAAGCCTGAGCAAAGCGAGACCCCTCTCTACTAGAAATAGAAAGAAATTAATGGCCAACTAATATATAAGAAAAAATTAGCTGGGCATGGTGGCGCATGCCTGTAGTCCAGCCACTCAGGAGGCTGAGGCAGCAGGATTGCTGAGCCCAGGAGTTTGAGGTTGCTGTGAGCTAGGCTGACGCCACGGCACTCACTTAGCCTGGGCAACAAAGCGAGACTCTGTCTCAAAACAAACAAACAACAAACAAACAAAAAAAATATATATATATATATAACCAGCATGGTGGCACATGCCTATAGTCCAGCTACTGGGAGGCTGAGGCAGGAGGATCGCTTGAGCCCAGCAGTTTGAGGTTGCAGTAAGCTAGGCTGATGCCACGGCACTCTAGCCTGGGCAAGAAAGCCATGCGTGTCTCTCAATAAATAAAGAAAATGAGTACATTGACTGGAACTGGATAAGCCTGGGTGGGACCTTGTGAGCCTCCTGCAGGTCCCTCTGAAACTGTGGGTGCCTAGAGAAGAGCAGGGCATTGGCTGTGGAGCCAGACCCCCATGTCTACCATTCTCTGTTCCTGGAGCAAGTGACTTCTTTCTGTAGCCCAGTTTGTTTGGCTGTAAAATAGCATGTATAGTGGTTTTTAATTATTATTTTTTTGAGACCACAGTCTCACTCTGTTGCCCAGGCTAGAGTGCCATGGCGTCAGCCTAGGCACTAACCTGGGCAACAAAGCGAGACTCTATCTCAAAAAAAATAAGCATTGTTAACCATTTTAAACTAAGGAATTTAAAGACTTGTTGTACAGCAATATATTTGCTTTAATAATCTGTCCTAAAGTGGGTTTTTTTTTGTATTTTTTCAAATTTTAGTTTTATTATTTTTTTCCAAACGAAAATCTAAATGTAAATAAATTGCTTATTAAATGTCTAGTTGTATAAATCCCATAACTGGGAACAACTGTACCCTGGAAGCTCTAAGTCTATGGGAAGCAGGAAATTGTTTATGGTTGGGATGGATATTTGAACCACATGCCCCAAAAAGACAAAGTCTCTCTTTGAGTATTTGTTCAAGGAAATGGAATACCCAGCTAGCTCAGTCAGTAGAGCATGAGAATCTTAGTATTTGTTTAAGCATCTGTGTGCCCAACCTCGGTCTAGAGAGTCTAACTCTGTCCTCTAAATCAGCCCTTACAATCTCACACAATCACCTCTTCTGTGATAGTCCTGAGCCTAGAGGGAGGATGCTTGTAGTTTTAGTAGCAGGGTATTGGCAGTAAATATTAATCATAGGTTGGGCCCAGCATGATTCAATAGTTTTAAATCCTGGAAATATCAGGCAAACTTGCTATTTACTTAATACTTGTCATGACTTTGGAAAAACAAAGCAAGAGAATCAGTAATGTTTTAAATAAGAAGTACCTTGAATAGGGGAACAAATGACTCTTAACACAGCATGAGAAGTTTTCTGACCATATTAAATAATTTAGACATATCAAGAAAGGCCAAGGCGAGAGAGATTACAAATAAAGCTCCTGTAAAGTAGAACCTTTTAGTGCTTTAAAGCTTTCCTCATCACACAAGAGCAAAATGTATTTGTCGTCAATGCACAGCACAAACTATCGTGCAGACTATGAGCTCCGGCTGTGGGCAAGGTTTCGCGCTGGTGAGCGCCGTACTAAAGTGGTTAAAACCTCCTCCACTCTTTTTGGGAACTGAAACCTGTTTTCCTGCCCAGGGCCAGTAATCAGAGGGCAGGAAAGTATCGCTTAAGAAAAAGGAAATTTAGGATAAAAAAGCTTAAGTATGGATAAATTAAATTAAATTAAATTTAGGATAAGAAAGCTTAAGTATGTTGTAGATGGTCTGTGCAAGTCAGGATAAGGTTCATAGAAGAGAATTTATGAAGGAATTTTGTGTGTAATCCAGTTGGCTATAATTTATTATTATTTTTGAGACAGAGTCTCACTCTGTTGCCCAGGCTAGAGTGCCGTGACGTCAGCCTAGCTCACAGCAACCTCAAACCCCTGGGCTCAAGCGATCCTCCTGCCTCAGCCTCCTGAGTATCTGGGACTATAGGCATGCGCCACCATGCCCAGCTAATTTTTTCCACACATTTTTAGTTGCCCAGCTAATTTCTTACTATTTTTAGTAGAGATGGGGTCTCCCTCTTATTCAGGCTGCTCTTGATCTCCTGACCTTGAGCGATTCTCCGCCTTAGCCTCACAGAGTGCTAGGATTACAGGTGTGAGCCATCACACGT